TGTATATGTATTCTTGTTATAGCGTAATTTGCCGGCACAACAAAGTAGTATAGTTTTAGGCAGTAGTATGATAGATTCTATTTGGAATTCCTTGGTAAGATAAGATACCGGAAATTAGTTTGAATGAATCAGCTGTTATATGTGATATTTCTATACGAATTTCTGTAGATCACCTACCGGGTGTGTGGTTTGACACCGATTTGTTTCTGGTTATGCTCCTAATTCGTGACACATTGGGCGCGTTCATATTGTCTAACCGTTGACTATTTGTCCTCGAAACTCACAGTTGAGTAGTTCCGCTCAGTTCAACAGTTGCCAACTTTCCGCCATTTTTTCCATCGTACAATTTTTTCGCTACCTGAACTCAACGTGTTTTGCTCAGCCTAAACAGATGATCGAAAAGATTTACGCCGCTTATATTAAATGTACCAAAATTCTTGGTATCGAACGAAAAGTATCGAGTATGTACTTATCAAATAAAACACCTCTTTGAGGTAAAATTTTCGAGTGACGAAAACTGAACTAGAAACACAAAATTTATGATATCAATTTCGTGACGAAAATTATACGCATTTTTTAACTGCCTTTGAAACGGAAAATTCTTTTTATTCATACGAATCGTTGCAAAAGTTCTGTTTTTTATTTTGTGTTTCTAGCAGTAAACGGAATTTCGCAACGTTCCGAATAAATAAAACAAGATTTTCCGTACGTTTCAGAGGAAGTTAAAAAATGCGTATAATTTTCGTCACGAAATTGATATCATAAATTTTGTGTTTCTAGTTCAGCTTTTGTCACTCGAAAATTTTACCTCAAAGAGTTGTTTTATTTGATATCAATTATTTTGGGGTAGCAAATTTAAAATCGACGAAAATTCATAACAATAATCTAAATGTTTTATTTTTCTCAAATAAATTGCTAAAATTATTATCTAAATCTAAATTATGTATTCAAATCGATGTGCCCATTGAAGCACATAATTTTTCGAATACGGAATAAAGCGAAAAAGAATGATCATATCCTTTGTATTCGAAAAAATTAAAAATAAAAAAATATGAGAAATGATAAAAACTTATCAACATGGTACCAACTTTGGATACAATAAACAACTGAATTTGTCTGATAGCCTCGTAGTTTATTTTCGTTAAGATTTCTACCGGGTGTGGGGCGCACACATGTGCTTTTTTTTAAGAAGTTTTACTTCTATCACGTGTACAGTGTTGCACTCGTGCTATTAAACT